TGTGTGTGTGTGTGCGGGTGTGTGCGTGTGCGGGTGTGTGCGTGTGCGGGTGTGTGCGTGTGCGGGTGTGTGCGCGTGTGTGTCTGTGCGCGTGTGTGTGTGCGCGTGTGTGCGTGCGCGTGTGTGCGTGCGCCTGTGTGCGTGTTTGTGTGTGCGCGTGTGTGCGTGTGTGTAAGTGTATCATCAAACAGCAGCTGACAGCACATCAGACTTCAAATATCTCCTCAGCACAGCATGATGACCCTGTAAACCCATCCCTAAATCCGTATGGCCCCATCTAGGTGGAGCCAGCGCGCGGACTCCGAGGTCGTCTTTCGCGGCCGACAAAAAAAGCGGAAGCGAAATGCGGGGCTTTAGTTTTGACAGGAAGAGAAGGTATGGTTTACCAGTAGGACCGGAGCAGCAGGGCTCAGGATCTTACGCTCCCCTTTGTTATGACAAGCTGATACGCTTTCAACCCTGTATACCCTAAACCCTGAAGCATAAAATGTACAGTGTAGAAGTCCTACTCCCCGAACATTCTCAAAGCTTTGCGGTCTTGAAGCCTTGGCTCTCTTTCCCAAGCCTACATCTTCTCCGAGGGGCTGGATCAGGGCTTTGTCAGTTTCTTCGGCGTTCATGAGGGTGTCTTCTCAGTTCTATGGGGGGCTTTTTCTGATGCGAGAAGAGTGAAGTCCGAATTGTATTACGGACTTTCTATGCGTTTACAATGTTTGATACAGGATAGATTGTAAAAGGCTGGCTTGCTGGGATGTCGCATGCTTCGGGTTCACGCCGCAACGAGGTTCAGATCCCGTTTCAGATGTATACCGTTGAGGAGTACGCTCCACCCTGGCTGTGACGAACTCACGATCCGTGCTCAGCCGTCTTGACTCAGACTAGAGTGGGCTTTACATGATGCATCGACAAACCGAGAGTGAGGCATCATCGGATGCCTGTGTACAGAAATCGGTCCTGCCGCAGTCGTTGAGCATGTTGGAGCCCAGCAACAGTCATGCTCCTTCACTGGTGCAGTTCGACAACTCCGTTCACATCTTAATCGCGGTGGAAGAAGTCTGCAGCCGACTGGCTTTCGAATTGCAATGTGATCGTGCGGGCTTGACCAATGTCGAGTATAGCGAGACTTTTACCGACTTCATCCGTGCCATCGACGACTTTCAGACCAGCGACGAGGGTGTCCAGCACCTGGTTGTCATTGTTGGCCAGGAGTCGTGGCTCTCGTTGATGCGACGCTTCGTCGTCTGCAAACGGCCCTTCCATGTGATCGATGCGTCGATGGAAGGGATGGGTGAGGACTGCGTGAAGCTTCTCGCTTCTTGCAACGGTCTAGAATTCTCAGAAGCGGTCCATGAATGCCTGGGCTCTTCGTCAAATCAGGTGTTTGCTTCAAGGGCTTCAACAACCGCTTCCGAAGCCTCTGAGACTTCGGGCCGATGTCCTGTGAGTGGTGAGACCTCGCAGGACTCGGCTTCAGCGCTCGGAAGCTTTCAGGCCCAGAATCCGAAGCTTTCACAGCCGAACTGACTCACAAGAGTAGCGGCAGAGAGCGTATCGAGGCCTTTTGACTCTTTATTAGCGACCTCACCCTCAGACTTCGTTGTCCGAGAAAGGTGACCAGACCTTCATGGACTGACCCTAGATCACTTCACATCGTCATGTCCCACAAGTGTCAAGCTGTCCTGCAAGGGAAGGTCACTCCTACTTCAGGATTTTCCCTCCGAAGCTTTTATGCAACAGTTTCACCGGCTCAAAGCTCTGAATGCTGACTGTAGTGCGGGTCAAGGGTTTCCTGTCCATTCCCGCCACTACTTGCTTTAGCGGCTGCCCTGAATTGCAGGCACCGTTCCGGAGTACTTGCACAATCCTGTTCCAGTGTTCCGATGCACGCAGCTTGCTAAAGGGTGGTCAGGGCGGGGCCTCGCGACAATTCGCTTCTTCTTCCTGTTCTTAGTAGGGCACGCGGGGGGAAAGGGATATAGGGACTACTATATGTGATTCCTGAAGGATCCTTTTAAGGATCCCTTAAAGGGATCCCGTATAGCTCCCGTTAAGGGTATCATATAGATCCATTCCCCTTTTCCCTACTAAGAGCCTGGGAGTCCTTTGTGTCGCTGCGTCTGCCCGAAAATGCAAGCGACCCACTCGAACTGGGAGGGCAGAGAGTGTCACGTTTAGGGTTAAGGATTTAAGGTGTAGGTTTTGGGATTTAAGTTTAGGGTTTAGGATTTAAGGTTTAGGTTTAAGTTTGGGGATTTTGAAGTTTAGGGTTTAGGATTGGAGGTTTAGGATTTAAGGTTTAGGGTTGAATGTCCTACCGCAGCACTGCACTTCACGACGCCATGTTCGTACAGGATCGCAGTAATCCAATTTGAATGCGCTACATGCCATGAAGGGGGCAGCAAATCTTTTCTTATCCCCGTCCGTACATGTTCTGCACGCTTAAAACAGTTTGCTTTCATCATCCCTGCCAAATCCCGGACGAAAATGAACGGACTTACTTCGAACAAGAAGTAACAAGAAGCACTTGAAGGCTCGCGTATAACCTCGAGCACCTGACATGTTGTTTCCAACCACTATGTCACTACGCCCTTGTCCTTCTTCTGACAAGCACCAAAACCCTGGCTTCTGGCTGTGCAGTATACCATGATCCACCACACTCATCTGAAGCTTCAGATGACTGAGGATTCACTCTAGTCCGAAATCCCTGCAACAGGCGCTTTACAAATCCAGACCAATCGCGAGTCCCTTTCTTTGTTACTCCCCACTTGTAGGATTGTAGGCTTGAGGGTCTTCTTGGTTGCAGCAGGAGCAAGGCGGCCAGCGGAACGAGGCGCCGGCGTCGCTGTCGCTGGGGTCCCGGAAAGGTTTTGAGCTTCGAAACTTTCAGAGACTTGGGGCTTGGGATGTGGCATTTCGGGTTTGCGGACCAGTTGCGGGTGCCTTAAGATTGACAAATAGCAGAAAGGAAGCAAACCAACAACAAATCAGCCGACCAACAAAAACATGCATTAAAGAGAGCCCCTTTTGGTACTGGCCTCAATAAGCAAGAGAATGCATGAAAGAGTCCCACCGCTTTAACCCGGCCCCCACAGTAGCAAGCGTCCAGATTATCGAAGTTTAAGCTCTGACTAGACGGTTCATGATTTAAGGATAAGGGTTTCAGGCTCTTGGGCCTGATCTTGTGGGGGAGACTCTTGGGGTTCAGGGTTTATCGGGGTCTAGGGCTTTGGGATTAGGGTTTAGGGTTTAGGGTTTAGGGTCTAGGGCTTTGGGATTAGGGTTTAGGGTTTAGGGTTTAGGGTTTAGGGTCTAGGGCTTTGGGATTAGGGTTGAGACTTTCCATGCAGGGCCTAAGTCTGGCAGTGGGCTTGCAGTGGTTGCGAACCACTTTGCTCGAGCCTTCTCCCTCGATGTTTAGGTTTAGGGAAAGAGTTTCATAAAGGGGCCTCAATTAGAATAGGGTTTTGGGGCACCTTATACTATAGTTATAATAAGGAACCCCCAAAATAGTGTAGGTAGTTATTGAGGACCCTACATTAGGTTTCCGCACCAGGCATCAGGACTTGAGAGTTCCGAGGCATCAGCATCCCGGGTATGTAGCAGCACATGTGTTTCTTGTAGCCAGCAGTAGTACCCGGAAATTTACTGATCTAGGAGTTTATACGTTTAGTTTAGCAATCGAGTTTTAGTATTTTGTAGTTGTTTGCAGCTTTTGTTCGAAGTAAGAACCCTGGAAATAGACACTTCTCCCCTTTGCAATCTCTTTAATATCAGTTGACTCTGAATGCTGCACCCTAGACCCAAAGACCCTAAAGCCTAAATGCATTCTGAGCCCTAAACCCTACATGAACTCTAAACCCTAAAACCCTAAACCCGAAATAAACCGTAAACCCTCAAACCCTAAATCCTGAATGAAGTCTAAACAAATACGAGGGCCCGAGGGCGTCCCACCCTCTTTTGAGCTCAGAGATGGCGCGAGACCTCCCTGAACGCTCATCCTAGAAAAACGCGCGAAGATCCGAACTCCGAATCCAAGAGGCCGAATCCGCGAACTCCCTGAACTCCCCGTGCTTAGGGTCTGGTCTATATATAGGTTAAGATTTAGGGCCAATTCAGGCTTTGTTGAATGGATGGCGCTTGACGTCAGGATTTTTGGGATTATTACTCTGGACAAAACTACATGAGTGGTAAAAACGGAGCCCCACAGCGTCCCTTTCTGGAGGATGGGACGCCTGGGGGCCCCATATCTACAGCATTTTTTCGTGTTTTCTAGCGAAAATCACTCTGGAAATAGAAATGTGGCGAAACATGTGTAATTGCACTCATCTCCAAACCAAATTGTGCTGAACCGGTTGCCGTCATCACATATACTAATCTTTTTCCTCGCGTAAGCATTTTTGCAGCGTTCGTTTGAAAACATGAGCCGATTTCACCATGCTAATGCCAAATCACGATAAAGAACATATGTATCCGAGTCATAGAAAGTCCCCTGGAAGCCTGGGGGGGGGGGGGCCACGGGGGGAAATAGTCCCTACTACAGCCGGAAGCCCAATACTACAACCAGAAGCCCTAGACTTCAACCACAAACTGGACCCTACTTCAACTGAGCAGCTATTCACATAAAAAGGGTCCCTACTACAACTGGAACGCTCTTTTTGCTTGGTATTCCGTTGTTAAGGGGTGTGCTGGAGCCTTGTATAGCGTTGTCGAATGTTTAGCAGGGACTACGAGGGCATCCTTACAAGTCTTAGGTTTGGGCATCCTTGCAAGTCTTAGGAAGTTTTTTAGGTAGAGTTTCAATTAACTCTGATAGTGTTTCAACTTTATAACCATGTTTATTTCCTATTTATACAATTCTTTCATCTCTGTTTTCAAACGCTCCATATGACTATCGATGGATTTTATATATGGTGAAGTATCAATGTTTCCACCTTGTTTTTCAACCAACCACTTGCGAACTATTTTATAATATTCGCTTTGTCCTTTAAACATATTAATTCAACTTGGTCTATTTGTGCTAGATGTTTGTAAAATAACCCTTCCACAATTTATTACTATATATGTTCAAGACCTTTAAAACATGTAAAATGATTAAGTATATTTGTCGTTTTCCGTCTTCATCTTTTTGTATTCAAAGGTGCTCCTTTTCGGGTATGAAATTTCACAATTATTCAGCGTTGATAAGTAAGCGTTTCTTTTCTTCTGGTAAGTACCGTCTTTATCGGGCGCTGGTTTATTAAATACCTGTGTTTTGTCGCTTATCCTATGTTCTAGCTCATTTTTTTTGTTGTAAATTTGCTGGAGGCTCTGCGTAACTTCATCTTTAAAGCATTTCATACTCAAATCAACTTTAACCATATAACAGCTTTAGATTAACTTTTTTCAACAACTAGGTATTATTGTTCGTAAAAGTTTTGCAATTTCAATCCATAACATGCCCATTTTGTTTGTTAATATCATCTGTATCCTTCTTAAGTTCAATTATGTCGGTCTCCAATTTTTCAATTCGTTCTTCCATTTCTTCGGGTGTTATTTGTTTTGACCCCCAACCCTTGTCGCATATTTCAACACTGCCTGCCTGTAATGCGTTTTCATCTTGTAAAAATATCGTCGGGCGAAGTATGCCTACCTGTTGAACCGAGTTTTGTCGTTTTCTTGGACTGTTTTCGTTTCTGTATTATAAAATTGTCTTCTACATGGACAAGGAATACAATGAAAAACTTGTTACCAATATGAAAACCTTTATTCTGTTCTGAATGATCTGCTAATGTAGCGCTCTCATTTAAACTTTTCAGATTTACAACGGCTCAATATGAATTTATAATATTTCAAGAAATAACAACACCGTCTATATCCTGCGGTCTTCAGTAAAATTCAGTTAATCTTCAACTTCATCAATGACATTATTGTACTTTTCATAATCCTTCATGTTTTTCACAATGACAAAAATCATTGATAGCATCATTTGATAAAACTTGCTATTCTAGGTTTCTTCTCCAAATGAAAACAAATTCCCGAATTAATGTTCAAATGTCTTACTCTGTGCTACACTTGTGGTACCTGTAAGCTTTCACAACAATTTCAGAACGGCTTGGAAACGGGAGGCGACAGGGGGGCATAGCATCCAATAGTTTATAGAAAACTTATCTTTAAATATGCAAACAAAGCAACTATGAAATGACACCCAAATTACCCTTCCGTTCAATTGTAGTGGCATCAAGCACAGGCAGCAAAACGGCTCTCATCCAAAACTTTTTGCTTAATATTTACCGTGGTCATTTTGAAAGATTATACATATTCTCGCCTTCAATTCATAGCGACCCTGCCTTTTACGAACTCAAGAAATACCAGAAAGACGTAATGAAAGTGGATGATACAGTATTTTGAAAGGTTCAACCCGTCAGACTTACACAATATTACAAAAGAAAGTCACTGAGATTCAAAGAAAAAAAAGAAAATATTTTTCAGTACATGTATGTAATTGACGACCACAGCGACGACGCAAAGTTTGTTCGATATTCTAATATGCTACACGGCCTGGTTACGAGGGGGAGACATCAAGCGGTCCGTTGTATCTTATCACTACAGTAGTTTTCTTCTACTGCTCCAATTATTCGTTTGAATGCGAGTTCATTTAACATCTTCAAACTAAAAATATGACAGAAGTTAATAGCTTCTTAGAAGAAAATAGCACCCTCGTTGATAAGAGGATATTGTCTGGTATGTACCAACAAGCGGTGAATGATGCGCCTTATTCAGACTATATACAATATGAATAGTAAAGACATCAACAAGATGTTTTGCGTAAGATCTGACAAAGCATTCATTGTTGACGATGAAGAAGATTATTAGCATTATATTGTTCATAGTATTATGAATTAAGATAAGTTGTAATTACAATTTTGAATAGGCAAACGATACTTTATTTTATCACTCTTCTTTTCCTTCTTTTATTTCTTTTGTAATTTATTTTAATACTTTAATTTGCTGTTTATCAATATTACGTAAATCTAAGTCGTTTTCATTAAAAATATTATTGGCTTAATACAATCATTCTCATTATCATTTTTTAAAGTTCTACATCGCAAGCCAAGTCCCCCTAAGAGCTTGGAAGAAGTTCGTATCCCAAAAGACAAATCGCAAGCCCCGTCCCCCTCAAAACGGGGCCCCCGTTTGTTAATCCATGATTTGGCTTTCGAGAGAAGACGAGTTTACAATTTCAACCTTGTCTCTCCCCTCCCCTCTGTTTCTCACTGTTTCTCCGTCGCCCTCTCTCTCTCTCTCTCTGTCTCTGTCTCTCTCTCTCTCTCTCTCGCTCTCTCTCTCTCTCTCTCTCTCTCTCCTCTTTGCCTTTAACGTGGTATGGGACTTTTCGTTATCTAAAACAAAGCCAGGCGCGTAGATCGCACCAAGTTTTGTCCCTCGTTTTTGTGGAGAAACACGATCAACTCTGGACAAAAACTTGGTGCGATCTACGCGCGGCTTGTCGTTGTCGCAAAAAGCCAGGAGTGTAGATGGTTTTTCCGTTT